GCTCCGCCGCCCCCAGCGGAGGCGGTCCCGGCCCGGCGGCCCCACAGCCCCGCGGAGCCGCTGCCTCCAATCGCGGGCCCGGGGCGGGGCCCGGCGGTGACATTGAGGGGCCGGAGCAGCGCCCGGACAGCGCCATGTGGGGCCGCGCCGGTGAGTGAGGGACAGACCGAGGGAATGAGTGATAGACAGACAGATAGATAGATACACAGACAGACAGACAGACAGACAGACAGAGCACCGGGCCGGGCGGGTTCGCCCCCGTTCGACTCCTCCCGGGACCCCGAGGGGCCGGGCCCGGGCACAGAGCGCGGAGCGGGGCGGCCCCGGGTGAAGCCGGGCCCTGTCTGACGGAATGGCGATAAAAACAAACTGTGCCTCATTTTCTCTGAAGAGATCGAAAAGGGCCCGATTTCCTTGGGGGCGGTTGTCTGTAAATACAAATTACTGGGTTTTTTTAGATCGGGAGTGTATTATGCGTCGAAAGTAAAAGGCAGTGGTTGCCCTTAGGAGMGACACTTTCAGACAGCATAAAGGAAATAAATAACGGTTTTATATTTTTAAGTGCTCTTTTTGCCTTTTGGAGTTAGTGTGTTCGTTTGGGTKTGTTTTTTTCTTCCCAGAATTTTGTCATTATATTAATTAATGCATTAGAAGCGCCTTTAAAGGTGCCCTGGCCTTTTCTAAGGCACTACAAAGTAGTTAACTCTCAGTGCTGCAAAATTCTGCTTTTTTGGCATTTCTCATGACTCTGTCAATGCTTTTGGGATGTGGCAAGATTGGTAGAATGTTGGTGTGCAGTCCTTGAAACAGCACCATCCCACATCTATCTGAAGCGTACGTGTAGATGCATTCCTGGAAACTGTGCTGTATAATGTGTTGTAAAAAATTCCTGTAGGATGTTCTCTTCCTTTTTTTCCTAAATGAAATTAATTGCGTTATTTTTCTACATAAGCAAGCTCAAGGCATAGCTTATAGAAAAGTTTTAATTTATTTGGTAGGCTATTACAACGAAATCTGGTACCTATTGCTTAATGTTACATATCTATCTATTGGTTTTCTTTCTTTTTTTTCCTCTTGTGTTAAAAAAGCCCTGAATTTTTCCTTTGAAAAGCTATTATTCTCACTTTCTACTGCTCTGAGATAAACTTGGCCTCTTTTCTTCCTCTATTTTCTCTTCCAGATAGGGCAGTTAAACTGCTGGGAAGAAATATTCCCTCGATTCTGAGGATGACTGAGGGAGTGGACCCGAAGATAAGCAGAAGGCTGAGCATTAAACGCCCAGAAGATTTTCAGCCAAAGAGTAAGAGTCTTTGATAAGATCATGCTGTGTTTCATGCCACAAAATACTTGCATATCCATGCTGCAACCATCTGAACAGCAATTTGAGTGACACAGATGCTTATATCCATGGTTTTGTGAGAGTGAGTTCTGATCTCTGGACTGAAAAATGGAGCTTTACATTTAGTAAAATCTTGTTTTCTGCCAAAGCATGGGGTCAAAACTGCTGCTTGTGACAATCACACAGCTTTCAGTCTGTAGCAGATCACCAGGACTTTATCTGGCACACAYTCCTACAGCAAAGCTCTTCAGCTGTGCTCTGGAACTGCTGTTCAGCCCCACTGTAAACTATTCACCTTYAGGAATGTGTGAGCTAAAAGACTTTTGCAGCTTTTCAGAGTGCAGCCAGCTCCAGCTGTTCCAAAAATTGAACATGCCCTGCAGGAAAGAGTCTCAGTTATTGCCTGGGTTCATGTTTAAGGGTGGAGCTGGTCAGGGAAAGCTCAGGCCRTGTAACATTTTTTCACTATATATGGGAGTTATTAAACTCCCTCTGTCACAGGTTCCTTATGGCCCACCTGTGCAGGATAAAAGGGGCACACAGATGTGAAGCATTTGGCATGATTCTGTGTTAAAAACATAAATCAGCTGTACTGGACAAGACAATGTCTGTTTAAAGTGTGATGTCTCCAGTAGGGCCAGTAAAGGAGRTCCCTTGTGTTTTTGTGAAGATCAGTGGGAATGGTGACCTACAGAAAGAACCTAAGGTAGAGAACAGGAAGAGGGTGACATCTTTGTGTTTCATGGTCCTCACTGGATTTTTTTTTYCCCCCACAAATTTGCCCAGTTTCTTGAAGCTGGGTGTGTTTTTATGAAATTCCTCAGCTGAACCATGCTGTGAGAGAACGAGCACAGTCTGGTGTTTGTTTTTKAACCCGATGTGCACTTTTTTAAAAKCTGATTTTCYTTTATTCAGTACCCCTTCCAAAACAGGACCTSATTATAACTCACACTCCTTTTTCCAATGCTCTGTTGGGCTGAGGAGAGCTTCATTCAGTGYTTTTCCAGGCCAAAGGCTCTCAGTGTGTGACAGTTTCTTACACAGTGACCATCCATTCCTGTGGCTGTCCTTACCACTGCTCTCTGTGCCTGTTCTGAGATGAGGCTCAGGATTTCCCATGCTTTTCCAAACGCTGCAGTGACATTTTATACAATGGCACAATAATGCTGTTGTGTTTGTCTGTGATCCTGATGATTGCTGGTTATGCTGCTTTCCTTTCTGGYACTGAACATTTTGCCAAAACCACTRTGAAACCCCGAGGAYTYGCTGCTCAGGCTTTGCTAATGATTAATAACAGTGAGGTTAAAGGCTGTCACTGGTGTGTGAACTGCAATTGCTTCCTGTTTATATACAAGGGAGTTCCTGGCCAATTCACTGACTCTGGGTTCTGAARCCCCACAACATTTTGGACTCAGCTCTCTTTATATTTTTGAATAACCTGGCATTGTCAGCAAACTGTGTATCCACTCCACTTCCTAAATAATTCATTAATCCACATCCATACAGGATGCCTTCCCTTTGTTTAAAGGAATAAGCTATTGTTGCACTTGGTTTGCTAGATTTTAATGGTATGTTATTGAAAACATACCATTAAAACCTTTCCCTGTTAACATTATGTATGAAAACCTTTCCCTGTTACATTATGAGTATTTTGCATATGGCCTTTGAAAGACTGAGCTGAAAATTACRTGTCTAATCTTTGCTTATGGTCACTCATCTGTTTGTTTATACCTTCAGATAAGAAATGTTACACTGCCTGGAAAACTTAACATCCTGAGATATTATATTGGTTTTTCTATAGCTGTTCCATTTGATATTTTTTTTCTTTTTACCTTTTTTAAATGAAATAAAAAACCAGCACTTTGGGAAGCTTAGATGCTGGAGCAGCTTCTGCTTATTTAGACCTACAGATACAGAGGGTTTGGGAAGGATTTGGCTTTCATTACATGGCTTCACTTTAATCCATATTTACACATTTGTTAATCTGTGATACACTTTCCATTCTCTAACCAAATCACATTTAGAGTTCTGCACTGCTCACCCTAATGAGGTTTTGTTATGGCTGTGCCATCCAGACTGTTGTTTTTGGTGGTGTTTTGTTTTTATTTGTGCATTTTTTTGGGTTTTTTTTAGGTCGATTTGCTTCGGGGGTGCCTGGATACAAACCTACAGAGTGGGAGAGAAAGTTTTTGCTGTGGGCAGGYCATTTCAAAAGGCCAGAGGATATACCAGAGACTGTCTCGTAAGTGTCAGACTTTGTCTATGCAGAAATAAATTACTTGAGTGCAACTCCAGAATAACTTTTTGAAAAAGAAATTGGTTTGCACACTGAAAAATCTTACCCTGCTGTGTTTGGTGTATGATCCTTGTAGATGAAATGACCTGAGCAATTCTTTTGTGCTGAGATAATGTATCCCTCTTGATTTTTTTTGTTTTTTTTTACAACAGGATGATCAGTGTTTTATCAGTTGTTCAATTAGAAAAACATGACAGATCAGTTCATTTTTACTCTTCTCTCACAATCAGAAAGCTTTTTTCAAACATTATTGTGAACTTTTTCTAGTGTTTTTCATTATATGTGAGTCTCCTGCTGTGGGAAACTTTCACTTACAGCTATAAAGTAACTGAAACTCATATAAAATAATACTTTGTATTACCTAAAGGGCAGGAGCCAACTTCCTTTTCTGTTGGAATTTAAACTAACAGTGTAAAGGCTCCCTAACTATATATATCAAAATTGCCCTGTTGCTGCTGAGTCCCAATGTCAAAGCTCTGTCCAGTGTGAAAAATAGAAAATAAAACTGGATGTTTTTGTTTGCATATGGAAAATAAAGACCAAACTTACCAAAAATAGATAATTATAAATAGACAATTATTACTTTAAAAACATTCCTAGTGGTAGTACAGTTAGCTCTTGAAACATCCTCATAATGCTTTTAAATACATATATTTATTTAAATTTAAAAAGTACACTAAACACTACTTGAGTAAGAAAATGATGTAGCTGCCCTCTAAATATTTTCTGTTTGTTTGGATGCACTGCATGGGAATTGAAAATCTGCCCATATTTAAATCTATCACAATGAATAAATGTTGTTAAAGTGGAATCCTTCAATTTTGCATTGAATAATTTTTCCTAAAATTACATTTGAAATACATACAGGAGTAAATGATTACAACTCATTATCACTTCATATATTTTTGCATACCAAACACTTGTTCTGAGTGTTTTTAAGAAAACAGAGTTAGCAGAGTGATTGATTTCAGTAGTTTATTGAAAGGACAAACCAACTTCTGATAAAAGCTGACTGCTTTTGCAAGTGCATAGGGAACTTTTTATTCAGACAAATAATTCAGCCAAATCTGAGAAGACAATTGAGAACTATAAAAGCACAAAAAACTTTTTTCCTGTTCTGAGATTAATTGATCTGAGATTGTGAGTTGTAAGGGCTTGTGATATAACTCAATCTTGTAAAATGTGGTGAAGCAACCTATTTATGAAACAAATGTTAAACTGAGCCACTGAATTGATTGAAAATGCAAGTTGTGTTCAGATATCTACCTTTTGCGCTTGTAAATTCTTAACACATCTAAGATATTTCCAAAATTAACTAGCAAACTTTTTTTAATCCTACTGCTTTGCATTTCAGCTTAATTGCAGCCTGCACTCAAGGCTTTCAATGCAGATTATTAGCAAAAACAACCTGGATGCTAAAATTAACCATTAATTTCATTGCAGATGGATGTGTTTGTTCCCTATGATCAGAAACCTTGTACTCAAATCAGTACTCTGACAAAAACAASAACAAAACTTCTCAGCTCTCAGGTCCTATGTGATTTACCACACTGAACTATCATGGATCCTTAAGTTTCTTTTTTTTTCCTTCCAAATATAAGGGTCAAAATGTGGTAAAATATTCCATATTCACTCGTGTTTGTGTACAGTAATATTTTTCCAGTTCCATTAAATCCATTCTCCATGTTAGTTTTGGGGTATAATTGACCTAGTTTGATGCATTATTCTTTGTGTCACACAATGTTGGTGCTTTTTTAGTCTTCTGGAATTTATCATGTGCCAAATATAATCAGTGAGAATATCAGACCTCCTTGAGAAGGGAGTCATCAGCTCTAAATCCTGCAAGGAGTTAAATAATACAGGGTGTAGGTCTTTGGTTATTTTGGAAAGCACTTCTAAAAAGCATTAATGCTTCACTGGCCCTTCTTKCATTGTTCTAACAGAAAACTTGCTGTAACCAAGATGTCATGTGGGTAAAATGATCTTCAGAGTTGAACTCAAAATAAACAGTCTTTTGTTTTTACTCTTCACATATACAGCTGGAAGATGTTAATAACTGCTACTCTTCTGGTGGAAGACTTCTGGTTTTTAAAAGATAATAGCAGAGTAGGCAACAGGTTTCCCAAAAGGGTAATATAGCTACAAGTGTGGCTAGGTAAGCCCCCTGGAATTAAAAAWCAATCAATTTAAAGAGTTCCTCTGTCCAAAGCTAATGTTGGAAAGCTTCCAATGCTCCAGACCTCCTTAGTTTCTTAGGAAAACAGATCCCTTTCAGACTATTTATTCCAGCAGGAGCAGGAACCACTGGTCTTTCACCAAGTCCTRTTCAGAATTTCTGAGCAGTGTTGCATTCAGCAGCCTGTGTGTCATGAATAGCACTGTCAAGTCCTGGAGCAGACAAAGCCATCTTGCTGGAAAATAAAACAGCATCATAAACAAAACCATTTTGAAGTTCAGGCAGAAGAAACTGCAAAGCTGTGATAGGGCTTTCCTCTGCCTAAGAAACTCAGCTGTTAAAACACTCTCTTTTGGTTTTTACCATATTTGTTCTTGCAGGAAAAATGCACATTTTGCAGTGTTAAATACACCACAATTATAATGTGGATGGAGTTCTCCCTGACTGAGCAGATATTGGAATGTGAGCACAGAGGGAGTTAACAGCAAGAAAAATACTCTATTAGTAAAACCATCCCTCTTTTGTTTCCTGTTCTTTCCACAATGAACATACATACTTAAATACCACAGCCTTCCTCCTTTGCATTGCAGCCAAGTGGTCTGCAAAGGCAGTATTTTAACAGTTAAGTACCCAAAATGTAAAAAGCTGGGTTGGTTTCCAGCTTTGAGAGGAATGCCTTTGTGACCAAATATCTCCCAAGGTACCTAAAGATCAGCACTTCCTGTTCTTTGTGAAAGAACTTTGTAAAACTTCTTTGTGAAAAGAGCCAAGTACTGTTAGATTATACACAACTACCTAGACAGCATGCTAGGAGAAATAAAATAAATAGCAGAGTTAATTATTTGGGTCTCTRATAAAGAATCTGTTCTTTTATTCTTTCTTGAGGCTTGAAACAGTGAGAGCAGCCAAGACCACACTGCGTGTGAAGTGCAGCTATGCCATGATTGCCTTGACCATCGTGGGGTGCATTGTCATGGTGGTCAGAGGGAARCAGGTAAGCACAGAATTGTGCCTGATGAGGGCAAAGAAATCTTCCTATAAATGTCTCAGTTTTAGTAYTGTCTTGCTTTGGGGGTTTGGTTCTTTTGGGGTTTTTGAACAAAATTTTAACAAGTCCTCCTGGCTCCCCAGAAGTGACCCTAATTGACCAATTCCCATCAGAAAAGGATGATGTGACTGTTGATGCTTCCTTTAAACAAAACCAAACAAAAACCCCTGAGCTTAAAGCATCTGCATGGCAGAAGAACCTTACTTGTTCTTCTGATGGGTTTCTTCTGATGACAATGTTCAGGTCTTGTTTCTATGGATTACTAAGTGTTCTAGAGAAACCTTMAAAGTAGTGACAGTCATAACCCCCTGTGAGCTACGGAGTGTCAGCTGACATTTCTGTCATCATTTGTCAAAAAAAAAAAAATCAATTTTTAAAAAATGTCTTTAAAAAGAAAGGATGCAGCATTTTGAACTGAAACAGTGGAAGGATTCTTTCCCTGGCTTTAAAGCAGAGATCAAACTCTGATTCCCAGAGCATTTTTGTTGGTACTACAGTAGTATGGGTGCAAACACCAGGAAGAGAGGACAGCTACTTTGGAATCCTTGTTTTCAAAGCAGCTGGAATTACTGGTTTCCTGAGATGAGCTGTTGGCCAGAGAATGGTGCTAATAATGCCAAGGCTGCACGTTTGATACCCCTATGGACCATTCACTGCAGAGATGGAGTTGATGATCCACGTGGGGTCCCTTCACACTCAAAATATGATYATGTTTATTTGAGTCTATGATTATGTTTAACTTTTGATTTGTTCCTCTGTCTTGTGAAAGTCAGATCAGTATTAAATACCAACCAGAAGCACAGAATGTATCTGCTAGTGCCTTGACAAAAGGTTAAATTTATTCCCAGGGAAGTAATTCTTTTCAGCCAAAATAATGTCTCAATATTTTATTTTAACCTTCTTGGCTTCCTGGCATTAAAGCTGACAGGACTGTGCCTTGGTAAGGATAGGCCAGGTATTTTTTAAGTTACTGATTCAAGTTTCAATGCTGTGGTGTCCTTCAGGTGATAACTGATGATCTTACTACATTGCAGGCTATGAAAAGACATGAATCTCTAACAAACATTAACCTGGAGAAGAAAGCCCAGCTGAAAGCAGAAAGTGCATCTGCTAAACCCTAGAGGAAGAAATGAAGAGATCAGGAACTGGGGARGAAAAGCACTGAGAGGAGGACAAAGTCCCATCTTTCCTGTATGTTGGTTCTGTACACTGAAGTTTAAGAAAGAATGAATAGGTTGTCCTGTAATAAATAAAACCAGAAATACCTAGTTTCTTTTCCTAATAACTGCCCCTTTCTTCCAAACTCTTTTCTTCATGGCTTGTGGGACAGGAACACATGAGCAAACTGGATAAGCAATACAGTTTTTTCCCACATGCTGCATACCAGACTAAATGTCTTAAATTACTGCAGGACTTGRACCTGCATTCTTGGCACCAATCCCCTGCATCAAGTTCTTACTTACCACTTACAAGAAGGAAACTGTAACACAGAGGGACAGTCCATTCGGTTTCCACTTGTACATCCATGCTTGTACAAACAAAGTACCTTCACTAGGCAGTCATTATTTACTATTTCAGCAAGAGAACTCTATTTATTCTGTATTGGTAYTGGCTAGTTCAAATAATCCATATGTTCCCATTTATACAAGACAGAACAATTTAAGGGAGGCCTTGAGCCAAAAGTTAATGCCTGACCTGCATTAACATCAGCAAAATGATCTGAAGTTATTAGAAAGGCTGCTTCCCTGTTCTAGCTCCTATTATTCTTGGCTGCATTAAGTAAAGGATAACTTCCTGTAAGAACTGCATGCCTTCAGTAAAACAAGGAGGGAGATGAAGAGGGAAATAGCATTTCAAGGAACCACAACATTCCAACTGACACCAGAAGAGTTGTCCCACCAGAGCTGAGTGTGATATGAGAGACCAKCCCAGCTAAGGGAACAGAGATGAACATTTTGAGGAATCCTGAGCAACAGCTTCAACTTGTTACTGTCAGATTTACTATTTAGAGGCACATTAGTACAAGAAAGTCAATGAGCCATTCCTGCTCTCTGCCACTAAGCTCTTTTCAAATCTCATTTAGATTTATACTTATTTTGCCCTTTTAAATTGTTACCTGTGCTTTCATGATACTAGGCCCACCTAGAGATCACCTGCCTCCAGAGTCCTGTTTGTGGCATTGAGCATCACACACTGTTCATGTTGAACAGCCTGCAGCAACCAGGGATAGTATTTTCCTTCCTCCTTTCAGTTCATTTGTAAGTAAATGTAGATTAGAAGTGTCAGAACTGTTCCAAACTACATTACTGCCCTGCTGACTGGCCTGGGGACTCCCAGAAGAGACTTATCACATTGACAGAATTACTTTGTGAACTTTCTCAAAAGTGGGAGGGAGATTTTTTTTTTTTGTTGTATTCCTAAAAACTAGCAGTATTGCTGAAGAAATAAAAAGCCCTTTATAAATGCAGGGTAAATCTTCACTGGCTGCTGTAGTCCATCAATGAATTGTATTTCTGGGTACCACAATGAGATGTAACCCATCAGACAAGCTGTGCAGGCAATTCCATCACAGAAGTTACAACCTTCAGGAGATACAATGACCTGTCATCAGATTCTCTGGATGGAAGTTACCCCAAGTACACTGTCAGCGAAGCAGAGTAGGATTCCATGGATTTGTCCACCTAATTAGCACTGAAAGCAAACCAGGTTTCATTTCACTGCAGGTATGTGAACAGGTTCTCCACTTCTGGGTCTTTGCCACAGCAGGAGGCACACATGAAGGTGGGAACCAAAAAAAAAACAATCTTCCCAGATGACATGCCTGTGGTCATGTATGTACTAAATGACATCAAAAAAGAGAACATGCATTTCAGACAGCATTTCAGATGTCTACAAAGAAAAACTTGTGTCTTATGCTTGATGATGGCAAAGCTTAAAGCTCTGCATCTCAAAAATATCACCCTTTCAATACACACCTGAGTGCACTCTGTGAACACAACTGGCAGGTCATTATTCTAGTTTTGGAAATAGAATTATTTGGACTCACACAGCTGGTAAAGTACTTCCAATAAAAATGTGCAAAATGCCAGTTAGAAARTTACACTTTAGAGCAGCAACAGTCACCAGTTTTTCATTTTACTTAAATTTCTGTAAGTTGTATGCCATTTACTCAAAAACTGAAGTCTGGTCCAGTGGTTAGACAAAAGCTCCACTATCCTTCTGTCACCCTGGCATCTCCACCATTTCTGTATCTGCCATAAACACAGCACATCACTGCCCAACTCTGTGTCTTCCTCAGCTTCTGCACAGGCTCAAGTCTCAAAGAAAAGCCCAAGACTGAGCTTTGTGTGGTCTCCAGCTCGCTCCCAACCACTGCATTATCTTCTTTGCAAGTAGCTGGGTACTAAATGATGCAAATCTTTCTGAGAGAGGTAATGAAATCACTTCTTTTCTGCTGTGATGGCTTCCAAGAAAGCACTTCTAAACAGAGACTGGTTACAAACCCAGCACTTTTCTGTCTGAAGCACCCAGTCCAGCTGACAGGAGAATTTAACACCCCTCAGATCACTGAGAGCTTCAGCCCAAAGCCTTTTAACTGTGCACCATGAGGAGGAASACACTAAGCCCTTAATTGCTATCTCATTTTCTTTCTCCCCTTTGGTTTGGTCTGTAACACCATTTACATTTATCCAGAACAGTCCAATTTGTCAATCTGACACCGTGTGCTATACCGTTGTCCAGAAACAACTGAAACTTCCTAATGGGACCATCAGCTGACAACTTCAGCACTGCCCCAGAACACACAGAAGCCCTATGGGCACAGTCATTGCAGTACACTAAGAGGTCTTGCTTACTTTTCTAAGACTCAGGAACTAAAGAAAGACCTTTGTGACTAAAACTGGCATGGGAGAGTACCAATGGCGTGTTGAGCCAATATCCAGAAACAAAATCATACTGGAAGAGATGGGGATTTACTTTTAGCTGGCAYAGACATCAAACTGCAGAGAGGTTAAGACAGCTGTTCTGGAAGTCCCCACAGAAGCAGAGAAGTGTATTGCCAGGAGCACTCTCACATGTAGAACCACGTGGTGGAATCTATTTCTTCAAAAGTCTTGGTGCTGACAGTACCAAAAGAATAAACATATGCAGGCCCAAGAATACGTAGGTCCAGGGTCATTGTGTTCCTCCCTTAACGTCAGGCAAAGGGTGTCACCTGTATTTGGTTGGCATCAAGGAACAAACACAGGAGTTTAAGGATAGGCTGAAGTCTCTAGGTAGCAGTTGCCTCAAATGATTGTGTGGTATCTTCCCAGAAGCCTCAAGTGATGGTGTAGTTCCTGAGCTTTCAATAACCTGTTCCAACATCCTTTGTATCCTCCTGAATCCAAGATACAGACCTGGCCTACAATGTTCCACTGGGATTTTCACCAATAGAAAGAATGATGGTTCCTGTTTGCTCCCCCAACAAAACTACAACTTAAATGGCAATAAAGATCTGTGTGCTGGACTGCTAGACAGCAATTCCAGGCACTCCTRCATCTTCCTTTCTCTAAGACCCAGTTTAAAACAGACATTGTTAAAACCTCAGTGCAATGCTTCCACCTTATTACCTATAAAGAGTTCAATAAATTCTCTTTACCAGCCTTTGGAGCTTTTGGAAAGTGCTTAGAAGGGATCTCCACAAGCAGACAGAAACAAATGCATGTAATTCAAATTTTGAAGAAAATAAGGGATCACTTTCCTACCATTACATGGTGCCTGACAGAGCCAAGAGAAGAACCCAAGAATGCAAGAGCACCCTCATCTACCCTCAGGAGAGCATGCTGCCTCCTATTTAGACACAAATGAACAACAGATCCTTCACAGAAGGGGCAGCTAGAGGCGTTCTCTGAGAGGGTCCCTCTCTGAGCACATCCTTGCAAAGAGCAGAGAACACTGGTTTCAATGTTTCCAGCAGGGAACACAGCTACACAGAATTGGGTTAGGAAGTGGTGTTCAAGCAATGAAGTATAATGATCCTCATGCTTTCAGTGGCACTTTTCCTCCAAAACAGTCTGTGGCCTGTTATTTAGTAGATGGGTAATGTTACACTACATGTTTGGCTCTTTTAAAATGCAAATAGTTTMCTTGCCCTTGGCTTACCAAGTAATTCTCATCAGTCTGTATCAGTGAGCTTTTCCTTTCATAAMTCACAAATCTGATCTCCCTTTTGTACCCATTTAATTGCAGCCTTTGTTAGAAGTAGATTTTGTTTCTTTTCAACCTATTACTAAGGCTAAGTAAAGCAACTCCAAGAACTGGTTGCTGGAAGATCCTGATGGAAATACACTCAATTAAGCACCATTTAAAATTACATTGAGACCTATGAGTTAGCCACATTTTAATCTATTTAATGTGTGCCATGTTGATGCTTGTATTGGTGTGGTTTTCACTCAAAATATTATGCAGTACCAGTCAAATGCCTTAYACAGTCTAAGTATTTATGACAACAATATTACCTGCATCAACCAGGCCTGTCACTTCAAACAAACATACCAAGTTTAAAGATTTACTTAACTGCTCTGAATTCACATATCCACGGCAAAAGTAACAAATACTGGCCAGGCTCCTTACACAGGAAGGCACACCAGTCAGCTTAAATGGACTCTTTTTTAATTCACTCATTTAGAGGCAATTGTCATTACTTTCTTGGGGGGCAGGAGAGGGAAACGCCAATGCACCACATTGTTTTCACTAGCCTGGAAGAGAAAACACTTATATATATAGATATATAGTATGTATATATATACACACACTTTATGCATGTGTGTATATATATGTGTGTGTGTATATATGTATATATACACGCTAGTGTATATATACACAGAATATACATATATGAATATACAGAATATATGCACACACACTTTGCTCAGATTTGTTTACAAAATATGTAGCATTTTTATACCATCCAATAAGAGGTACATGGTTTTAAACAAATCTTATAGAAATGACATGTTATTGGAAATTTACACGTAAAAAAATTCAGCACAAAAAAATCCAAAAGCTAAAACAAGATTTTGCTACTAATCAGTGCTTCTATCACCCTTCAAGAAAAGAGAAACACAGTTATTTATATGTGATGTAAAGGCAACATTGAGGGGTTTTTTTTGCTTTTTTAAATTAACCACCAAATTTAACCCCCTAAAATTACAAAGAATTTAAGTCCATTTACAGATCAAGTGCAGTAAACTAAATGTTCCTTCAGCACAAAGCAGCACTAGAGAAAATAACTGGGAGAGGGAAAGTGGAGGCCAACTGGCTTAGCTAGGGAGGCAGCAGGTGGCTTCTGCAGTGGCCACACAGGTGAGAGTCTCCATCCTGAAGCAGAGACAGAAGACTTTATTTAAATAATGGTCACACAGAGCTGATGTTCAGGCCTTTGCCTAGCTTCTTTCAGCAGTATGACAAGTGACTTATGTATTTTTATAACTCTGTATCCAATGGGCTGGTTTTGCTTTTGCAGTGGCTTATCACTGAGAGGAGTTATGAGGATCTTGAAGAGTTCTGCCAGAAATATTTACCACAGGTACATGATGCTGCAGTTGCCAGTGGCGATTTTGAAATGTTTACACTGGACAAATATGTGTTCCAAGCATCCAAAATGGCTTGAAAGAACATAGCCCGATGCAGAAGGGAGCGGACGGCCTAGGGAATCATCGCATTSTCAAAAATGGAACCGCCACTTGSAAGGACGTGGCATCTCCCCAGTTGKGTGAAGAGTTTGGTGTCAATGTCAGCTGAACTCAGTGAGGAGTGGCTGGCCTTTGCATCAGAGGTCTGTGATCCAAGCAGGTTGCAGAGCCAAGAACATGCTGCTAGCAGAAGGGCAGTGTCCAGCTGCGTCYGGCAGCTGCCATGCAGTCAGCGATGCCTTACAGATGTCACCTGGAGGAACCATGCCTTCCATGCTAATTCACCTCAAGTCTCATCAACAGCAAAAGGGAAAAGTGAAATGAGAGGGCCAGGTGGATCCAGATGTATAGTACTATCCTGTGAATGTAGTGTCTTTTAGTTGTTAAATCGGGGCCTTGAGCAGGACCCCGGCAGGTGAGCTGGAGAGGAAGCTCTTGTCTCGTGAAAATGAAAAGGAGACCTAATGCTCCTTGTGCTAAGTTTTACAAATTAAGATTTCTGTAGTCAGAAGTTAACTTTTCAGAAGACAAATCTGTTCAAGTCACGCTGTGTAAAAATGTAAAGAGGCAGACAGGAACTTTTCAGCCATAACTAGAATATCAAGGACCAGACTCTGGAGCATGGAGCCATAAAGGGCTTGATTTTTAAGGAAGGCCCAGCTGGATCATACTGTGCTGGCAAGCAGAAGTGAGGGCAGTTTCTCCATTCTAGAAGCTGTTTCGGGAAGTCATTTCTGGGGAGGTGTTAAGAGTGACCTATTCACAGTTTTTTTTTGTGGATGGAGAGGAAAAACTGGGAAGGAATACAAATCTCCACAGTGGTCTGCAATCCAACTTGGGAGGTCAGTGTTGAGACGGGATGGGGCCAGATGTGTTCAGTATTCCTAAAAACCACAAAACATGTCCATTGCAGCCTGTTGTTGCAGGGGTAGAGAACTTACTCCATTGTTTGTAACGTTTCCATGCCAATAACCCCGGCTGGCACACCCAGCAAGGTCCATACATTGCATGTGAAGGTTTAACTCATCTCTCGCAGCCATCCGAAGAGGCATCCAGGGGAGAACATGGGGGATGGATTCAGCTACGTTCTCAGACAGGCTGAATGTCTCCCTGGACTGCAGGCACACTCTGCAGCAAATAYAAGACAAAGGCAGCCTTTTCTTGGATGCCAGGAGTGGGGGGCCAAGTGGAGGAGGGATTACTTTCCTGTAATAGGAACAGGGAATATCTCAAAGTGTAGAAAGGTGCCTCAACTCCACAAAGATGACAGTGGAGAGATTCAGAATCTAGAGGAGAAGGGTGATTCTGGCAACCCCTTGCCAAGGAGGGGGCATCCTGCCACAGAGAGCCAAAAGTTTTCCAGACGTATGTAAGAGCATGTGCACAAGGCAAGCGAATGAGCGCAAACAGGGTTATGGAAAACATTGAGAGAATCACTCCACGGGTGGCTTGTGGCTTGACAACAGGATTGGCTAGGTAGAGGAGCACACAGCACAGGGGCACCTCAAAGCTGGAAGCCTTCCATGGGAGCCTCACACTGCTGGAAGATGTACTGTTGCTGGTTGAGATCCACTTGTGGGGCAATGCTGCTGTCTTCRTCCTCTGTTCCAAAGTAGTGCTCAATCAGATCAAAGGCCTTCTGATAAATCTCTTGATTCTCRTGGCTCTGCAGGAATTCAATCTTGTCCAGGCCTGCAAAGCAGTACATAACAGTTACACCTCAGTGAAAGGAGATGACCACAATAATTTTCAGTCTGTTCCATGATTCTCTCCCACCTTCAAAAAGAGACCTGTACCCAACAYGTACTCTCCACAACCAAGGAAAGCCAGTTTGAACTATAGAGATCCCTATAACTGTGTTAAGTGTTTCATACTTGCTGCCTGCCTCTACCCTTTCCAACAAAAACTAAATCAACAAGCTTGAACGGGTAAAGAACAAGGCCTCAAACTCAGACTCTTCCTGAAGAAACTTTTAGGATAATGTTTCCTGAAAGTATGTTCAGTGTTCTTTATGACRACCGTGAGTACAGAATCACCTAACTCTAAGTTGAAATATTCGAGTTCTGTAATGATCTAGTCCAACCTGGCAGTACTAACCAACACCAGATTAGATCTGATGTCTTGGGACAAGTATTCCAAACTTCCCAGGATGAAGACTCCATTTCCTAACCTGTATAATTTGCATGGATGCAATGCAGTTAAACCAGGCAACCAGATTTTGGGCAGGCATTCAGCAAATGGGTAAACTCAAACCCTGTAGTCTGATACAAAGAAAAATAATAAAGCAAGGGATGGTTCTGTAATGAAATACAAGTGTTAGCTGCAGTAGCAAATCTCTACTGTTAGGAATTGTAGCGGTTTTCTTGTTAACACCTTTTACTCTGTATAAATCAAGAAGATCTGCACATACTGTCTGCAATCTATACACAATGTAGAAGGACAGAGCACACTGGAGCCTTCCCAAAGAGCAGATTATTTGCAGTGACCATTGCTGTCTCCCCTGATTTCCCCAGGARTTTTGCTCATACCATATGCTTCTTCAATCAGAGCACAGTAAGGGTTGATGCCGGTGCCGCTGCGTTTGGATTCCTGCTCCCCAAGCCTCAGGATGTTCTCCAGCCCATTCAGTGCTACTTGMACAATCTTTGAGTCCATTACTGTAAGGAGGTCGCAGAGTGGTTTGATGCATCCCAATTCTACTAAATACCTGAAAAATATCACATGGAACCCAGTAAATTGTCTGCAAAATTATAATTGGTGTAGCCATTTAAGCACTTAGCATGAAGGTCTAAGAATCAGAACAATGAGATAAAATTTCAACTTGCGTGGAAAAATTAGAGAAATTACAGACATCTATTCTGATCTAGTCAATTCTGCTGAAACAATGACAATTACTTTATTTTCTCTTGCTTTCTCTATATAGCTATGAAATAATAATATTTTTGTACCATTATATTTCTGTAACAGTAACTTACAAATATTTTCTAGTGAGAGCAATTATATTAATTTACCATGCTTATAAAGTCATTTTAAAATTTTACACAAAACTGTATATAAGCATAAGGTACTGGTGTCAGTTAAAGAGGAAAAAAAATGTCTGTGATGCCATTGTCTGAGGGGCTGAGCTATTCCTGTCCAGACTGTTAATGCACTCTGATACACTCTACACCACTAAAAAGTTAAGTTTAAAAATTGCATTTAGTTTTTTCCATGTAACAGAAATGGTTCAATTATTTAAATAAGTATTAGAGCTGAAATATTTASGTGATTTCTCCCTGAATAAAATAAAAAAAAGGCTCATTATAACAAGGACATGGTCTCTCTGGGTACAACACTGAAAGCATACTGAAAGTTTATCTAATTTCTAGGCTGATAGCTTGTTTTCTTGCACAAACACTAACTCAGTTAATTGCATTGAAATTTTAAACWATTTCATACTTGATCTGTTCAGCAGAGCCTCCCGATGTTGCATTKGTGATTGCCCAAGCAGCTTCCTTCCTTGTCCGAAACTCAGCTGTTTGCAAAATATTTATAAGAGCTGGGAAGATATGGGCATCTATGACTGTCTGCAAAAATAAATGACATGGCATGGTCATAATAAAAATCAGAAATAACTTCTTTGTCCTGAGTTAAAGTTCATGCTCAGYACAACACAGTAGAACAATGGAATGTCACTTTATCAAACATTAGAAATCAGTTTTCAGTTTTACACTCAAAACCTTAGTTATTGCTGTGGTCTCTGCTTATTCTAAATTAATTCAAAACACAATCAGACTGAAGTGACTGCCRTATCTAATGAGTTACTTAATCATACCCTGACAGCAAAAGAATGTCCTACTTCCCTTATTTTTCCAGGTAGTAAACCACTCAGCTATTAAGTCAGTAAACCATTAAGTCATTAAGATCCCCTAAATTTCATAGGCTTGTGCACCACAATACATTTGCACTGGGTGAGACAAGAGTAGTTGTTCAGGTAAGAACTGCTCAAAACAAGCAACCACCGGTGAAAAGACAGAGTACCTGATGGTTTGGCTGTAGCATTCTCTGCTCAGCTCAGCAAAGTGATACAAGTCAAATGAGCATTTGGGCAGCAACTCTAAGTYTCTAGTAACTCCTACTGAAAATAGCCTTTTGCAATAAGACAAAACCCAATTTTGTTACACATCTATGACAAGGATTTGAAACACTTGGATAAGGATCACTCAAACAAGCAAGAGTTTAGGATCACATTTTTAATCTATCACTTTACAAGTATAAAGCATCACAGACCTAATAAAGGAAAATCAAAGAAAGCCAAAAAGATCCTTTTCACACAGCTCTTTAGAAGAAAACAGATTACATACAGCAAAAAGCTACAGTCAGTTCACAGTGTGAATGGCTAACCTGTAAAAAKAAAACAATCATTTGATATTTCTTTTATCCTTCCTGTTTGTCTGGGCATCCMCACTGCCTCTGCTTTGTAAATCCATACAGTTTATCAATTGTATCAACAGTCCCATTAACACTGTCTCCTATGCCAAAGAATCCACACTTCTAATACAGCAATCTGGGGTCCTCAAGGAAAACTATTATTTCCATCATGCCATGTTGTACTGCATTTGTACATTGCCAAGAATATTTGGAAAAGCATCCTTAACTGGAATTTTTGAACATGACAACCAGAAGTGATAGGTCACAAACAGGAGCCAGCTATTTAAAAAATCTTTTCTTAACTATTTTAMCATGTAACCACTCTCTCTATCCCAGCTGAGCACTCTAAGGTCAAAAACATCACATTATCACATCTTAAAGCCTCTCCCCCCCAAAAAAAATCCTTTCAGAGGAGATTTATTTCCTTAGAAARTGTCTTCTTAAAACCAACTTCTATAATAAGTATTAAAATCACAGTATGCTTGTTACATGATAGCATGAAACGAAATCAGCACACCTTATCTGACACTTGAGCCTTCTTACTGCCAAAAACAAATGTTACCTTAAAATGTTTCAACTTAAACTTGTAAAATAGYAAGCAAATTCCAGAATAAAGGGAACTAGCAACAGGAGGGCAATTAAGTGGGAGAAACACAAAAGATTGTTACTGTTTTTCTTCTGGGTCGATCAATTTTGAACTCTTTGCTTCAGTGCTTTGATGCTTTAGTTCAGTGGGTAAAATAACTCACTTAGAGTTAKTAGAGAAATGTGCAGTTGAACCTTTTCAGAAGGAGCTGAATTCAGATCTCACATCTCTTGGGCGAGTGCTTCTGGCTGGAAATTTTAGTTCATAGAGGTTTCTCTGATTTCTTTTCCAGTCACCTTATTTATTGAATTTACAACTGCTTTATAAATAACATAACAAATATTTGTAAGCTGAAACTGCACACTATGGCATGGGCACAAAGAACACACTGCCTTCCTRGAGACAGAGAGGAAGCACTTCAATCTCAGCTCTAATGAACCCTCATGTTGTTGACACAGACACTTCAGCCTATATACTCCAAACTGTACAAAGCAAACTTCTGCCACTTTACACAAGGTTGTTACTGCTGGCACAAAGAACCTGCAGATAATGAGCAGCACGTTGTTGAGCTCTCTCCTGCTTTTAGGGTCGGTCACCCCTAAGAAAACTAAAACCAAATAGACCAACCAACCTCCCAAAGGCAATAAYAACACCACTGACTACTGTGGTTTTCAGCCAGAATAAAGGAATTAAAGGTATTCTAGCTCTGCTGCCCTCAGTGTGGMATAAGGTAAGTAGAAGCCTGAAAACAGATTTTTTTTTTTAAACACAAAGTTAAACCTGAAAGGGATTAATCTTTGACTTTCACTAGTGTGCAAACTAACATGACCTTGTCAGCAATGCAATATTTTGCTCATAATGGATATATGTTCTAATAGCACAAACAGCATGTTTAGATTTTGAGATTACTTATGCAAACTATGACATAAACTAAACACACTTTATATTTTAGGTAATTTGATGCCTGTGTAAACCACAGCTCTGTGTGAATCATGTAATTCCTTTTCCATGTCCCCAACACTACTTTTGGAATGGTCCCCAGTGGTCCTTTTGGAGAAGAGCCTCTGACAACTCTGAGCTTGTAACTTTACCACATTTTGTAAAAATATATTTCATTCAGAGTTTTTAAAACTGACAGGCAAGGTGGTATAATTTTCTACATTTGCCCATGTAACTCTTTGGTAAGGCTCAGAAACCCTAGAGAAGGAAAAATGGCACAGATCCTGTTGCTACTATGCCTAGCCATACTCAGACTCCCAGATGTTCTTGTGAAAATTTAAGGTGTATTAGAAAAGAAGTGGCAAGTTCCTTATGCTGCCAAAAGGAGGGAATTCCTCTGATGTCTTCACTGTCAGACACGATACACTGTGTCTGATGTACTACCCTTCAGAGATTTCCACCGGGTTGTGAAGTTCAGACACAGGACATTTTCTGAGGTATGTGATAGCCTTTCATACCCTTCAGAAGGGTCGACAGTCAGGATTAAGCTTCAGTTGTGCAGTTCTCCTTCWGATTCCCAGGAAGTTGGAGCTCCCCTTCTCCCTGACTGGGGAAGCTATCCACTGAAGTACAGCAAAGCTGTATACAAACTGGGGAATTAACAAACAAAAACTATACTTAGTGACAATCACGACTGCTTCAGGATATCCACATCCACCCCAAACCCTGAAAGCACAGAAATAAAGAGGGGAAAGACTGCTCTATTCCACCACACTTTYCTTTTGCCTAGGTGCTGCTGCTAACACACTCTGCAAGGCTTTCACTTCCACCTTTGGTGGGGAAATAAAACCGTACCTCCTGTGCTTTAGTAAGAGCCACCAAAGAAAGTTCAGCATGCATTTTCATATATTGCATGCATGTTAATTTACATTGCCTTAATGCTAGTTAGAGTTTACTTGATTGTGTTGCAGAGCAAACCTAATAATAATAGGTTTATCTTTTAGAAATGGCAGTGAAAGTCTTTGGAGTGTGCTGCCAAATAGCATCATAGGCAGTGTGACAGTGGAGATGRATATAGAAGTCCTTCCCTCTAACTTTTTATTTCTATGCTTTACAGTGGGTCGATGGAGGGAGTGYAACCCAATGCAATCTTAAACAACACTAAATATAGTTCTGTCTGTTAATATTAGTTAGGGAAAATACCTATAAGATCCATCAAAATATTTTAATGTCTTCTTGGTGTGCACAAGCAATTGCCATATTCCAGCTTGAGCACTACCCAAAATCTCCACAGAATTCCAACATCCCAGCTGCTCTGGAGCAACAACCCACTAGYTAGATCAGCTGGGAACTTGCAAAAATGTGGGTTACTATGCCAGGCAGACATGAAAAAAATATCATCTGCTGAAATTGTTCTTTCTGGCTAAAGATTGTGCATGTTCAAAATGCAGTAAGCATCACAGAATGGAACAGATCTGCTCCAGTTTATGACCTCTAGTAGAAGCTATTAAGCAATTTAGAAGGAATGGGAAAAGSAAAATAAATTCTTTAATTTAGAGCTGCATCTAGCATCTTAGAATCCCTTCTATAAGGAAGACCGATTCTCAAGAAATAATGTTTTAATTAATCCCAAAGCGAAATCATTGTAAAGAAAGAAAAACCCACCTCAACTCACAGATTAAATAGGTTCACCCATGAACTTAGTTAAATCAAATATTCATCCCAGTTGGGAATTATCCTTTATCATCACAGCTATTAAAAACAGACTACACTTTTATTCTCCTTTTAGCATAAGACCACCTTGAAGAAATGTTTTACTGAAGCATTTTTCAACTTCAGAAATTCTTTTGTTTAAATGCTTTTCAGCTCAAATGTTTACAATGATTTTGCCATTAAATAGGAGTTGTCTGAGGTAATATCTCAAAGGCTTTTTCTGAAAAATGCAGACTCATCAGCTCTGGAGCTGTCAGGTTTCATCAYACCTTGTAGCTCACACAACATTCTCCAGGTTGAGACTAAAAACTAAAGAACCCAGGGTTTTTCTGGAACCTGCTACACATCAGTGATGAAACTTTCCTTTCAACACAAGGCAATCATTGCAATCACATCTGAAATGCCAATTTTACTYCCAAGAACCACTGGCTTTGAGCTTTCCAATCAAGCATGTTGTAAGCACTCTCCACTGTGCTTTACTTCCCAACTTTCCTCTAATGGGCCATCTTCTGAAGTTCAACAATCAAGGCTTCATGATGGGCACGATTTGCACTATCTCATCATTACCAGATAGTTATATCCCACTCACAATCTAAAGCACTATTTTTAATCTCTTTTTCATAACTGTCAGTACAGATTATTGGGTATGCACTTAGGGCAGCTGTGTTTCACTATAAACCATGTGCTAGGAGTATGAAGGCAGATCAATTACTCTAAATGAAGCCCAAGGGATTCTTAAATAAAATACAGCTTTCACTTTTGAGAAGCTGYTTCTTACATTCTTTTTCCCTGGACTTGCATAACGCATCAACACACTTCCAACCCTGTCTGYGACATATCCTAAGGCAGCTGCTTTTAAGCTGGATTCTTTTAAATCCACATGTATTCTGGTGATTCGTTTGACACTGTTTTCTTCCTGATACAAGGTTCCTGAGAAACAGAGCTTCTATCCACATAATCACAACAATTTTCCAATGCAGACTTAAACAGCTTTTTTTGCACTTTTTTTAAGAGTTACTGCTAGAAATGAAGGTGCAATACTAATAGCTCATAGCATTAATCTCCCTCTCCCTACCTTCTGAGCTCACCTTTTCAATCTGTTCTCAAAGAAAGGCAGCTGATCTGTGATAAAACACCCCAAAACATTTATAAACTGCTAAACACACACATGCATAGAMTAATGATTTTGTTCAGGTAAATTAGGCAGATACTGTTTTGACAAAGGAGAGATTTTATCCCTCCTTGTTTTCAAATAAAGACATGATAACAGTTTAGAAGACCAAGGATTACCAGGGATAGGACTCTCCARCTAAAGGCTCACTGTACATTGCCTGAGTAGTGGATACCAGAGTTAAGAGTCTGTGCAAACAAGAACAGGCACCTACTCCTTCTTTTCAAACCAGAGCAATGTGGTGCAGTGAACAGTCATGAAAAAGTTACAGAAGCGAATACATCACTGAAACAGCTTCTGCTGCACAAGAATTCAAGTTACTGCTAGGACTCTTCATAACTTTACCTTCACTGGATCAAGAATATGAAAATAGAGATCCCCAAGTTTTGAAAAAATGCTCTAACAACAAACTACTTTCCATTGTCACTTCTGTTAAGCCTTTAGGGAATGACTTGTATAGATATCTGGCTTTCTAAAGTTCTTCTTAAGTTTGGAACATTCCTATATGATAGAACATCCTGAAGCAACCTTCCAATAGACTTGAGAAAAAAACACAAACTTAAGACAATGTATTTGGCTGGACTGTTCCTCAGAAAATACTCTTAAACTTTCCAGAAAAAGAACACCCTTCTAGAGAGAAAATACTGTATTTCTAAGGTTGTAGCTGAAAGGACAAAGAGCCAAAAGATTCTTCACTGCAAGAAACACAAAGGCAAAAACATTTTTCTCTTGGTACAAGCAATAGTAACCTACCTTCTCTGCACTGCTACTTGCACAGCAATTACTATTGCTGATGTGGGAAAAAACCCATGGTACAGTTGCTGATTTTACACAGCACTTTTTGTTAGAAATTCAGCTAATCCACRGATTAACACACAAACCACAATAAAGGCAGAATCAAAATTCTTGGAGCTCTACCAAGATTAGATTGAGTAACTATAACATTCTCTGTATCTGACAAAAAACATGACCTTCAGTGGTAAAAACAAAACCCTGACTGAGAAAGCCAGAGCAARTGTCACTGTAAGAAGTTTCTTTCCTCACAGTCCCACTTCCATCTTAGTCACATCTTTACATCTGACAAAGGACCTACAGAGCTCTCAACCTYCACCAGTTTTTGGGTTTTGCCTACTCATTTCCTAACATAAGCATCTCTGAATGCTAGATGAGCATTTGCTCTTATTTTCAGGAATTTCCTGTAGCTTAGAAAAGACTGAATTATTGTCCATAAAAGTATTAATTTTATTTCCTATGCTTTCTGAGATGAAGCCCTCATTTAAGGTATAAAGGCTGAATGTTCTTTGTAAGGGAGAATATAAACCCAAAAGATTCCAAGCGTCACCAGCAAAGGGTATAATACACTTACTCCAAGGGCACAATACACTTATTCCTCAGGCAAAATATGCAGCCTTTGCATCATCCTGCACAAGTTTTCTGCAAAAAGAGAAGTAACTGCACCCCACAGGTGATGAGGATTAACCAGTTTGTGCTCATTCTGATCATACAGAATGAATAATCCCATCATTCCAAGAGCAGCAATCAGGCTGCCTTCCAAGGAACACAGAGGCAACAGRTATGCCTTGGCTACTTTTGCCAATRYATTAAAAGGCTYRGTTCACTTTTTGTGTAAACATTGTTCCAGGTTACTAATGAATATTTCAAATATTTCAAGAGTCACATCAATTTCTGACATTTATTGCCATTCCTCAAAGAATAAAGTGTCTCCAGCCACACGTTCATGCATCCTCTGCAATCTCTGAAAATATTTTCCCTGTCCAATGAGGGAGAAAAGAATTGAAAAACATAACCTCAGAACTAAATTTGACATTAGACTCTTATGCAACTGCCTCGAAGGAAACACTTGAATTTATCAGCTATAGCTTGGTTTCAGGGACAAGTTGGATGGGGCCCTGGGCAACCTGATCTATTGAATGGCATCCCTGGCCATGGCATGGGGGCTGAAATTAAATATCATTAAAGTCCCTTCCAACTCAAACATGATTTTATGATTCACTACAATCTGTTTTTCCAACACTTCTGCAAAAGAGAAGGAATGAGACAATATTCTTTGTACTGGGATTGCATAGCAATGTTTTGGCAGCAGTGGGGGGAGCTACAGGGTTGGTTTCTGTGAGAAGCTGCCAGAAGCTTCCCCCATGTCTGACAGAGCCAATGCCAGCAGGCTCCAAGGTGGAGCTCAGCCCACCAGTGACACTGACAGCAGCTCTGTGGTAACTTATT